TCCTGCCCCCTTCCTCCCCCTCCCCCACTCGTCAAAGTAATCTCGTTGTACTTGTGACAATGACAATAAAGCTATTCATTCATTCATTCATTTTTGTCTTTGGCTGTGTTTGGCAATGTTAATTTCTGTCCCGTGCTCCTACTCCTAATTAATGAGACACTATTGTACCTTTACTGTTTTTTCTCAATTTAGTGTAACAAATGTAGTCATAGTTGAACATTTAAAATATGTTTTAAGTAAGAGATGTGGTGGTTGCCATTACCCACAGCACAGCCTATGAAGCCGTGATCCCTTTGTGTCGGTGTCCAGACTCACCTGACAGTCAGCTGTCTTTTGTGTTAGTCACTGGCCTCTCTGTCCTCTACTAACTTTGATTTCTCTTTTCTGGTGCTTTGAAAACCATGTCTGTGTTCACAGCGTCAGGTGACGGCAGTCATATGTTGTGTATTTGTGTATTTTTCTGTATTCAAGATGGAGATGTCAGCGACTGCAGGTAGTGTGGAGATGTCTGGCCGCCGTCAGCGCACTGGCACAGTGAAGAGGAGGAGGTGGGGAGGTCTGAGGCAGCAGTGGAAGCTTTTGGGCTTGTTTGAGATTGATCAGCAGCATGAGTTCTACAGCCTGACCTGCATGATGAAGGAGGGATTGGCAGCAGCCACCCAAAGCACCGTTGACAAAACACCCACAGTGAGTACGGGTCAGCAGAGGCAACATTTTAATCATCTATACATACACATACATGATATTTAAACTCTAACCACTTCAAATTGAACTATTTAGGTTCATAACATTACAGGGCTTCAGTTTTACTTGAGGAATCTATTTATCTGTGCATTTTAAAACCCAGTGGCGCATCTAGAGTGGTGGCAACTGCCACCCCTAAAAAATGCTTGTCAGCATATATTTCTGCCACCCCTTAAAGTCTCCATGCCAGGACACCTCATGAACATTTCTCTATATCCGCCGCTGAAAACACCATGCAAGATTCAAGGTAATATATAACCAGCTTGAATACATGAATTAATAGGCTTTAATAGCTTGCAGCATACCATTTAATAAATTTTCATTGACAGAAGCTTTCTAAAGCTGTTGTTACGACACTTTACTTTTGTGTACACAAGAAATATTGCCAAAATGAATAAAACTATCAGTCATTGCTTTTAGTCACTGATTTCCAAATATGTGTACACCAAGAATAACTTTATTTGGATACCACTTTTCAAACAAAGTTACAAAGTGCTGTACAACTTTAAAATTAGACACTCAGAGACCAGCCTGTGAGAGTGAGTCATTTAAATGTGAACGTGATGAAACTGGTGCAACTAGTGTGTGGGCTGAAATAGAAAACAATAGATGCTGGTGTTTTGACTGGGGCCCCTGGGGGTCTGGGGCCCCAGAGCAGTTGCCTGGTTTACCAGGCTTATAACACAGACAGTCTATAGCAGAGGTTTTTCAAACTGTGAGGCGTGCCTTTGCAGCAGTGCACAGAGGGAGAGAGATGTGGGAAAGATAGCGTGTGAGGTGAAAGGTGCATGCTAGTCTCCTAAAAACGACAGGAAGTTAGTTTTTGTAGTTTGGCTGCTGATTTCGCTACTCAGTCAGCAATTGGTTGTGACGCGCAGCTTATGGAGGATATTTTAAAACCCTTGTGTCACAATTAGCCCTCAAATCTGAGTACACATAAATGATACACATATTCTTAGATTCAGTGTGACTTACTCTTCCCAAAGATATCTTTATTCCCAGTATCCATTGCAAACAGTCTTCATTAAACTGCTTATTAATAATAGAAAAAGACGTCACTACAGACTTTGCCTTAGAATTATGAGATTTTTAAAGCTGCAGTAAGGAACTTCTCTAAAAATAACTTTTTGTCACATTTTCTGAACCTTTCACTATATCCTGACAGTAGAACATGAGACAGATAATCTGTGAAAAAATCATGCTCCTAATTGTATTTACAAGTTTAATTTAGACCTTGATCAACTTTCTCCTTTCCTGTACTTAGATATGCTATGTGCTAGGCTTGTCTACTTTTAAAAGAGAACCACATTTTTGGTTAAAAGATAAAAGTGACATATTAGTCACGTCTTAAGTTAGCAAATGTTTCTCTATCTAACTAGCTAGCTAATCAACATTAATCATCAACTAGGTAGTTAGTTGGCCAGTTAACTAACATTTTGCTACAAAGCAAAACACTAATGGCTAGCTAATTGACATTAATCATTAGGTAGCTGGTTACCTCTTATGGCTAATGTAAGCAAAATGCTAATTCTTTTCTTAAGGTGATTCAACAAGATGTAAACTAAGGCATGACATAAATCATGATTATTACCCTAATAACTGTAAGACAAAGAATCAGATTGGGGGTGACAAAAGCCATTAATATGAAATTTTTTTCATGCTGTGGTATCAATATGTTTTGGACATTGCTAAGGCCCCGGTCTATACAAATGCGATTTTCTACCTCTTACTGTCTGTCCCTGTGTCTGGACATGTCATTCATTTCTAAATCAATTTCACCAAACTGGGACGAGCTGTGTTGCTGCCATCATGGGAAAAGAGCAGCATTATCACTAAAATCAATATATATAAAATATAAAAAAATACAATGCACATCTTTATCTCTTCTCTGTGTTGCATTCCACTGCTCACCTATACACATTATTACCATTTGCATGTTGTTTCTACAGAAAATAAGTGTCCTCTAGTATCAGGCAATTCTGAAATGGAGCCAATGGTGAATGGTAACTGTTTACTCCTCATATATCCACAGAACCTGTTTTTTGTTTGCGCTCCCAAACAAGCTGCACCTGCCTGACAAACCACTCTGCTATCCAGCCATTGCTTTTATTGGAATATAGCAGTGGCTGTGGGCTCTCTATAGCTATAAAACTTCTTGTTCACTCCAGACATCTCAATTGCCATGCAGAGGCAGGGGTGTCTCTGACTTTGACTGGGGACACAAGTGGGGCACTGACTTATGCAGGGGTGGTATGAAGTGTGTGTCTCAGCTTTCCAGTCACTCCAAATTTATGCAATTCCAATACTGTTTGTGGATCCCAGTATGCAGAAATATTCAAATAGACACAGCAAAAAAAAAAAAAAAACACATTCACATGCAAAAAACTGTATGGGATTAGCATAAAGTGGGCGTGTCTGCAAAGGGGAGACTTAGAACCCATTTTCATTCAGATATCTTGAGGTCAGATGTCAAGTGACCCCTTTCAAAATGACCTTGGCAGTTTTTCTGTCATCAAAATTTTGCCTAACTATTTAACTCCCTTCCGAGCATGCTAACACAGCAGGGTTTGTAACAATGGATGTGTTAGGTCATCCAATTTGATATGATAACAGTGTCTTCACTCAAGCTTTAAAATAGAGCCCGCTACAGCTTCTTAAAGACAGTGCAGAGTGGAAGACGTACGCATAATGGTGTGGCACTTGGGTCAGTGTAATTCTTTCATTTTGAAATAAGAAAATCAAAAACGGGAAACGAGCAGTTTTCCATATTTTGTTTTAAAAATAAAAAGCTGACAATGAAAAAGCTACCCATTTTCCATTTGTTGTTTTGAAAATAGAAAACATGTTGTTTTTCATTATCTGTTTTTATTTTATCTAATTTTCAAAACGGAAAATGGTGGTCGGGAAACAACTTTTTTTCCCGATTTTGGTTTTCTCATTTTAAAACAAAATCTGTTGGCCAACCCAGGTCCCCCCTCTGGAAGAACTTCTGTGCAGAGGCTGTGACCTTTGTGTAATATTGTGTTGAATTAAGCCTTTAAATCACAGAAGACTCTTGTAAACATCTTCACTCGACAAATCAACTGATATCCATTTAAAAAAAAAATCTGTGTTGTAACTAGAAGTACACTTGACAATACAAGAGCAGGCTGTGTTGCTGAGTTTGCTTTTGTGGAAAGAACACTGCTGCAATAAATGTCGGCACTGTTTGGCTCAGCTGTGATAGATATTTGCAGAGTGGCTGAACTCTCACTGCAGCCCACAGTGTTGACAGGGTTGAGAAGCAGCAGTTTAAACAGCCCAAGCTTTTATCTTTGCCTGAAAACAGGGGAAATAATGTGCCTTCTTCCCAAATGTGGATCAATACTGACATAAAAAGATTGTAACGGATGAATATTTAATTCATTTATCTCAAAATACTGCAAGGCAAAAATGATAGATGGATTATATATGTAGTTGAGGTATTTACACAGTGATGCTATTACATGGTTTGTCCACTAGACTTTAGTTTAGATTATTTTTTAAGATCTAAACTAGACCTGAACATTACCTTGTCCTGCGTTAAAAAAGTTAAAGCAACCAAAGGGAGAACTGTATAAAAAATACTAAAAATATCAGGAAAATTCAATTCAATTCAAT